CTGCGCCCGCGGAGCCACGCGAGGGGCGTCCGTCTGTCCATCCGTCTGCCAGGGCCCTGTCACCGCTCCCACAGGGCCAGGGGTGCAGAGATGCTTCAGCATGACAGGGCCGGAGGACATAACCCCGCACAGCCCTTCCTCCTCTACCTCCTCCTCTTCCTCCTGCCCTCGCCGTGAGTCAACGCTGCAGGACGTGGCTCCCGGCGTCGGCACTTGGCCGGCACCGAGCCCCGGGGACCCGGCTTTTGCGGAAACGCCGTGGCCCGACGGCGAGGGCTGGCTGAGGTCATGCCGTGCCGCTGCGCCAGCGCCGACACAGAGGCTCTGGATGTGGCCTGTGTGGGGTGGAGCTGGGTTTCTCGCCCGGTTTGTGGGTGTTTTGGGGCGAATGGGTGGCCCCGGGCACCCCTTGCCCTCGCCGAGCCCCGGGGAAGGGGCAGCGGTGGGGAGTGGGGTGGCTGGAGCAGCTCAGGGGTGATGGGGAGCAGCGCCAAGTCTGCGCTCCAAGCAATTAGCAAGTGGATCCCAAAAGAGCCACTAATTACGAAAGCGAAGCAGGACGATGAGGATAACCCTGACAGGTCCACAACAACCGGCGTGAGAGGAACAGCCTGGGCACCCCAAGCTCAACCGCACCCTGTGGCTCTGCGTGGCGCCGAGCCCAAACCCCGCTCCGGACGTGGCGTGGAGCATTTTGGGGTGAAAGAGCCACATTTTGGGGCTGTCCCCAGCACCATCCCAGCAGAGGAAACCCCAGGACGGAGAGCAGACCTCGGGCAGAGCCAAGAGAAGAATAAACAAGCCGGGGCCGGCACCTCCCCTGGCACCAACCTGCCGCTGGCACGGCCAGGCTGCAATTTGAGGGCAGAGCGGAGGCAGGAGCCGGGCCCCGGCCTCCCCGCACCCTCCCCGGGGCCGGGAGAGACGTGTCCAAACGGGCAGCGCGGGGGAGGACCAGGGCTGGGGAGAAGGATGAGCATCCCGTGCCAAGAGCTGCATGGAAAGACAAGGGAAAGTAAGCTCGCTTACAGCCGAGCAAGCACCGGCAGCGCCAAGTGATATAGAAACCATATGTGGGGGATTTGGGAGACGTGAGAGAGCCGGGCAGGCGAGCGTGGGGACGTGGGGCTGCTTTCCCAGGCGGCACAAGGCAGCTTGGCTCTCCCCAAAAAAAATCCCCAACCCGGCTTGGGAAGGCGATTTGCTGCTCCCGGAAGGGCCGTGGGAGCTACGGGGGGTGACGGCGAGGGGGGTGTCCCGCCAGCGATCGCTTTAAGGACACGTTGGGGACAAGCCCAAAGCTTTGGACTGAGAAACTTCCACGTTGGTTTGGGCTCTGGTTGCGTCCTCCTGCTGCTCGCTTCCCGGTGACACGTGGGGGGGTTTGGGGTGGGGGTTTCTGCTCAAACAAATCCCCAAAATGCCGTTAACCCCCCCCCCCCGAGGGGCTTTGGCTGCCACGCTGTGCCACTTGTCCCTTCCCAGTTCATGCACCAAGCGAGCATCCTCCCTCTGAGGCGGAGGGGAACCTCTGCAAGCAAAGGGGGGGGTCTCTGGGGGTGAAGGCACTGTGTTGGGGGTCCTGGGGGGGCCACTGCAGGCAGGAAGGGGCTTGCCAAGGCTTGGCAGAGCGCAGGTTGGAGCAGGGGGATGCGCGCAGGGATGGCACCAGCCTGGCTTTGTGCTGCCTGGGGGGGGCAGAGAGCACCCACCAAGGCACCACACCCCTCAGCACCCATGTCCTGCACCCCACACCCTCACCCTGCCGGGACACGGTGCCACGTGGGTGCCCAGGAGAGCCCAGGCCAGGGGGCTCAGCTCGACTCCATCCCCAGAGGGGACCCTGTAGCCCCCCATAGCCATTCCCAGCCGGGAGGGGGGGCTATGGGTTGTGCCCTCTGCTCACCTCGGTGCTGGAAAGGGCCCAGCTGGCCACGGTGGCCCCATCCTCACCCCCATTGCCCAGGCACTGGCCACGGGGCCACGACGGCCCCATCCTCACCCCCATCAGGAAGGGGACAGGAGCAGGGACAGGGACAGGGCAGGGACAGGGAGCACCCAGGCTCTGGCCACGCATCCTTCCCACCACCCAGGAAACAACCATCTGTCTGGGGCCGGCCGACGAGGCTCCCACCGAGCTCTTCCTCCCCCCGAAGCCAGGAGATAACTCAGCCCTCCGCTGTTGTTTGACTTTTTGTGCTATGTGTTTTCTTTCGGGTTCTTGGAACAGTGACGTAACCCCCGGGGCTGAAGCTTTAGACAAACAAGGTTTTTCACTCGGATCTGGGCCAACCCCTGCAACACCCCAGCACGATGTGACAGGCACCTCCTGCCCGCGAAGGGCTCGGTGGCTGCCCCCGCGGGGTCCCTCTGTCCCCCCCCCCCC